CTGTGGAGGAGTGTACGAGCATCCTGCGTGGGCTCAAAGAGCGTTATGAGCAGCACCACGGCGTCCAAATCACGGATAAGGCCGTGGTGGTGGCGGCGCAGCTCGCGAATCGATACATTACCAACCGATTTTTACCAGACAAGGCGATTGATCTGATCGATGAGGCCTGCGCAAACGTGCGGGTGATGCTGTCCTCGCGCCCGCCCGAGGTCGACGAGTTGGAGCGGAAGAAACAGCAGCTCGAGATCGAGGCGAAGGCGCTGGAGCGGGACAAAGACAACACCTCGAAGGAGCGGCTGAAGGGGGTGAAGGCGGAAATCCAGCGCATCGACGACAAGCTCGGGCCAATGCTGGATAAGTACAACCAAGATCGCCATCGGATTGACGAGCTGCAGGCGATGCAAACCAAGCTGGATGACATGCGCGTGAAGCTCGAGCGTGCAACGCGAAACCGGGACATGGAGGTGGCGGCGGATCTCAAGTACAACGCCATCCCCCTCTTACAAGATCGCATTCTCTCGTTTAAGGAGCAAATAGAGGCCCAGAAGTCCATGGCCGAGGCCACCGTCTCGGAGGCCAACGTCACGGCCGTGGTCTCACGCTGGACCGGGGTTCCCGTTGACAAACTCAATCAAAGTGACCGGGAGCGCCTGCTAAATCTCACCGATCACCTCCACAAGTATGTCAAGGGCCAGGACGAGGCGGTGGAACGCGTCGCCGATGCGATTTTGCGGGCCCGCGCGGGGCTTTCGCGGCAGAATCGCCCCTCCGGCTCGTTCATCTTCCTGGGGCCGACCGGCGTCGGGAAGACGGAGCTCGCCAAGACCGTCGCCAAGGAACTCTTTGACAGTGAAAAGTACATGTTGCGTATTGACATGAGCGAGTATATGGAATCGCACTCGGTGGCGCGTCTGATCGGCGCACCGCCGGGGTATATTGGACATGAAGAAGGCGGACAGCTGACGGAGCCGGTACGTCGACGCCCCCACACCGTGGTGCTGCTCGACGAGGTGGAAAAGGCACACCCGAATGTATTTAATATTCTCCTGCAGCTTTTGGATGACGGGCGGCTGACCGACTCGCATGGACGCACGGTGGACTTCAGCAATACAATTGTCATCATGACCTCGAACATCGGAACGGCCTACTTGCACCACATTGGGTCATCCCCCCACGCGTACGAAGCAGCCCGGGTCAAGGTCATGGGGGAACTAAGAAATTTTTTCCGACCCGAGCTCCTCAACCGAATCGACGATATCATACTCTTCCGCCCCCTTGGTTTTGATGAAATGGATGGCATCATTGATCTCATCATCGAGGAGCTAAATGGGCGTCTGAAGGAGCAGATGTTGCGTGTTGTGGTAACCGATGAAGCCAAGCAATTTATTATCAGGAGTGCGTTCGATGCTGAGATGGGCGCGAGGCCGCTTCGCCGATGGGTTGAGAAACACATCACGACGGAGCTTAGTCGGATGATTATTGCGCAAGAGCTTCCTCCGAACAGTAGTGTGCGCATAACATACAACCAAACACAGGAAAAGCTATCTTTTTCTTTAAAACGCGCGAGTCCGTCGTAAAGGGGTGAAACGGAACTGACCCAAGCGTACCAAATCGTCTTAACAAGATTATAGATCGCTCCGCACCTCATTTGCTAAAAAAACATTCCCTTTATTTGGACTCTATATTATTACTATTACTATTAATATTATTATTATTGACTTTATTCATAAACTAAAACATTACAAATATCATCCAAAATAGCAATCAAATATCAGACATCAGAAGAAAGGAAGGAATACTACCATTTTATGTCTTTTTTAAATATATATTTACTGTTATGTTAAAAGGGAATTATAATAAGAATTTGAGTAGCATAAGGTGTACGCGTATTTTACCCATCTTCGTATATTTTTGAGAGCTTTTCTTACGGAAGTACATTATTTTCTCCTAATTTAACGTTGGTTCTTTATGTATTTTCCGTGAAAATATGTTTAGATAAATCTATTACTTCAAAAAAATCGAAGTGTTTTTATTCTTGTAATTTCCCCCCTTAGTGACTGATGAATGAACCAATAAATTATTAACCTTATTTTCAACTTTGTAAAACTCTGCACTAGAGAAAAAAGACATTTTTTCGCCCTCATTTTATTAACTAGTTCTTATTAGTCTAACTATGTAATGTTTACGGAACAGGATGCGATGCCTATAACGCAATCACAAGAGCCCTCGATGATTCCGAATACATCTACACAGCCACAGAACAATGAAGAACATTCTCGAACCAAGACAAAAAAAAAATCCAAAAAGTCTTCTCACCACCGTACCATCCCACGTGCCCCACACCGGCAGCTTTTTCTTACCGACACCTCCCAGTTATTACCCTTTCACATTTCGAAAAAAGGCCGGATGTCTACGCAACAGTTGCTGTACCAAAAACATGAAGGCAACGCCACACACCCTTCTCGCGCGCCGCATGATCCCTCCGTCTTTCTTTCCACCAGTAGCAGGGTTTCTACTGAATCACAGCCACATCATGACCCATCACTCATTCCGCATTCTACCTTGAGTAAGGGCCACGAAGGGTCTAATTCGGTCGCCTCGGATGCATTTTTTTATCGTAATGCCCAACAGGGTGAACTGCCGCACGGCCAGAGCCATCCACATGACATCCACGAAACGCAACCCCAGGGAAAGGATCTTGGCCCTACGAGGTCACTGCGCAATCAACTTATCTACGCAGACCGTTTTTTTTACATATCCGAGCCTGTGGAACTTCAGATCGAGTCGATGTCTGGACCTTGCGTCCGCCTTATGCTCTTTCTTTGGTATTTTACCTTCCTCCTTTGTGTAGGAATTGACATGTTCCCGCGACTGCGGTGGGATATGCTAGATATTTGCAACTCGGAAAGCGTGAGCTTGAAGAATCTCGGTCAGTGGAGTAGCACCTGCTTCGAAACTCAGCCGTCGTTGTCAAAGCCCGGACACTTCAATGTGACCTGGGTCCCGAATATTCAGGAAGATCGCGTCACCCCATACTACGCGCTACGCCATGTTGTGGTGAGTACACCACGGCCCTCCACACTCTCTTCCCCGGAGGTTCGCTACAACGAACTCGTCGGGGTTATCACCGGCGATGACGAAGTCCCGATTGTGTTGGGCCCCATGGAAACGACGCTTTATTGCAGCGAAAAAAACAGCCTATGCGATGTGCTGAAACTTCCGGGTGGGGTAATGTTTCCTTTTCGTGGGTTGTTTTTCCCTGAGCTCTCGCCGGAGTTGATGAATGCGATGACTGGAGGATCAAGTGGGATGGGTCCATCGGCCTCTATTGGGATCTTCTTCGAGCGAAAGAGTTACACTATTGTTTCAGTTGTTTGCCGTTACTGCTTTATGGCCTTTTCTATGATACACATGTTGAGGTTCACGGTATATCGCAGGTACACAAGCCATCTATACGAGCAGAGTTGGATTATCGGGTTGCAAATATTCTTGATTTTTTATTTGAACCCACTTTTTGTAGAGAACCTATCAGCACATCCATTTTCTGGCATTCTACATTTTTTTGAAGCTTCTCTACCAACTTGCTTTGTAGCGATGAACCTAGCTTTCATGTTCTCCGTTATGACTGCCTCAATGTTATGGGAACAGAACACAGACAAATGCAAGGCAGTTCACGAGAAGGACATGACGGTGGACAGCGATAAGGAGAGCCTCAATCTCTATGGGACCATACGATCGAGGAGCTGTTTGACCACTCTTTATAAATTTTTATTCTGCAGCAAAAACTTATATGATCCACCATTGTGGACGAAGCTTATTGCCGTTTCTTATGTTTTTTTCATATTATTGTACCAAATTGTTCGCTCAATTAATAGTCCAGACTACGCCTTTGCTGGTACGGGCTTTAGCGTTAAGCTTGGAGACATCAACTGGTGTATTTGTGCACTTGTCTTAGGGTGTCTAATTTGCTTTGGTTTGCTCTTTTACTTAAACAACCACCTGGGTAAAAAGCCGTACCTTGAAACCCGCCCGCAGCAGCTTGCTTGTTGTATGTTTCTTATGATATTCCTGTTTATTATTCTATTTTATATCGCCAACTGCATCACGCTCTATGCATATGTAAGTCGCTTTTATCCTGTTACTAATCCGTATTTTCCGTTCACACATCTTACCTCGCTGACGCTGAATACGCTTTTTGTGAATATCATGACATTTGTCTACACTACTCAACCACGAGACGATAACGTTCCAATTCATCCAAATGACGAGCGCTGGATGTTCATGGTGTGGCCGCACACATGGCATACATGGCTCGCTCGGCACGGTGGAAGCCAGTATATTTTTTTCACCGAACGTCAAGAAACAAATTTTTACAAGCTTCAACTCGATTTTCACAAGCGTCAGTTATTAGCACGATTGAAAAGGAAAAGGGATACTAGTGTAGAAAAGAAGCATTGGGCCCATGGCGTTGGGAAGGCCAACTTGGATAAACCGTCATCAACTATGGATAGGTCTCAAATAGAGCAAACGAACCAAACAGAGGGTCTTATCGATCTTAAGAATCACACTGGTAATATTATTTTCGATCACAAATTGACTAGTCCATACACAAAAGAAGCCAAGCAAAACGAGGATACCCTCGCACTTCCGAGCATATCAAAGATGGCCACCTCAGGAAAATCCCAATCACTTAATTTACAAAAGGAACACTTCCCTGATTCAGAGATAGGGATGGTTCCCATACGGATTAAAAGTAGTCTTAGCCCTTCTGAGTGTAACTTACCAAATCTGGTTAGCAGCTCTGTGAAGAACGAACAAGAAAACTTACCCTACGGGATTTCACCTGTTTCAAAACCTTCCTGCAAACACTCAAGGGTGGGTTCAAAAGTGGGGTTTATTGAAGAAAACTTAAACCACTGTAACGGCACCCGTAAGGGAGACATGAAGAAAGGATTAGGCTGCATGGACTGCTTCAGCAGCTCCTACTTACCAGAATTACCGGAGGACGATAATATTTATATGCTATCACGGTCAAGGCGACACGTGACGCCGAATGACAAGATCCCACTTCTTAACACATCTGTCGAGCTGCACGCATCGAACTTAGTGAGCCCTAGGTTAGTATGCGGTGTGGAGGGACACGCCAAGCATTCCGCCTATTTGGAATCGAGCACGAAGCGAGCGTGCATTCAAGCGATCACCGAATCAGCTCGAACTCAATTTCACAGCAATCAGCTTGTACCGTTAAGCCCTCCCAGCCATGGGATGAGGGAGACGCCAAGCCGGGAGGGGTACTCTCTTTCTCTCTCTGCGACCGACAAGGATGGATCGTCAGTTCGGTCGGTGGGTTTGATGATGGGTACATTGCATTCCAGAACTCCCACACCGCAACTCGAACTTTCTTCTTCTCATTGTGGACACTTATCGCTTAAGCATCGAGGCGCTTGCAAACGAGCGCGTTCTCACGACTGCAACATCGCGCCGATGGCGACTTCCAGATCGAAGCAGTCGATCAAGGGCTTCCCTGTTCGCACCCCGCGAGAGGTGCTTTTAACTCAACCTTCTGATGATGCTAGTAGCGTGGGTTCTGAATACAATCGGTCCACTTTCCAAAGAGCTGTGAACAAAGTCCACCTTGGGATCAATAAGCTTGTGGGCGTTGCCGAGCGGAATCTTGTCAAGCGACCAATGCACCACATTGGGCAATTGCAAAAAATCGTTCTGGATGCGTTCTACAAACCTTTTGAAAGCTCCAACTACTTGCCTTTCTTCAATCTTGAGACCGCAATCGATTGCTTCAACTTGTCCTGGGAGGTATACCATCTCGAGTATAACAACATCGTTGAATATGAAAAGACAGATATGTGGTTAAATCTAAACAACGTGTTTCAAGTGATTTCATCCTTTTTCAGGTGTTGCTTATGTCGCGGTCATGTACCTGAAGAAGTTTCAGACGAAAGCAATAAGCACCTCATATTTCCGAGTGTGAGTAAGGATCCACATTTTGCCGTCAAGATGATCGATCGTACAGACAATGAACGAGTTGGGTCAGAATTTATCGGGAAACAGCCCTCTGAGACAGGTAAGGCCAGCCATGTGAATGCAAAGATAGGAATAATATCCAACATAGCGCCTTACAAAGTTGATGAAAAGCGTAAGCAGATGATCTATACCCTAGTGGGGTCTTCAGTGGTTGAAAAAATCAATAATGACGCTGACGCCTGTGTTAAGTATCCCAATGGTGGCAATTCAGCTTCAAGACATCTTGAAGCCAATCCTGTGAAGCCGCAAACCAATGCCAAGGGAGCGGAGCAGCTAACCATGGCACCCAGCGCGTTCAGCCATTCCGCTCAACCTGCCCCAAGGACCGCGCGGTATGAACAGTCCACCTCAGAGGTCATTCCCGATAAGCCTCACCTACCCACTGGCGTACTTCCCATGTGCCTGGAGCGCTACGGCTACATTCCCATTTGGGTGACGCAGATCAAAGAAGTGCAAGTCCTTATCGCCAAGATCGACACGAACGCTCCTGAGCATTTATACAAAGCCCCGCGCATCGTAATTTCCCTGCGCGGCACCGCAAACTGGAGCAACGCGCGAGACGACATGAAGATCGAACGTTTGGTGTGGGATGAGATGGTGGAGGACATTGCCGCGATGAACGACAGCGACAATGACGATTCCCTCATGTTGAAGCTCAAGAGTCGTGCTTTTATGGGCTGCGCCTCGCTCGGGCGGGTGTGGAAGCCTTCTTGCCATGGTGGATTTCTCACCATATGGAAGGCTATGAGGCCAGTGGTGATTGGAAAACTTCTCGAGGTTCTCCAGGGGGACCCCGACACGGTTTATCGTGTCTTCACGACGGGGCACAGCCTTGGCGGGGGGCTAGCTTCGCTCTGCGCGTACTCAGTAACCCGTGAGCTCCATCGAATAAAATATCCTATCCAGGAGGTCACCGTGTACAGCTATGGTACGCCCCGCATCGGAAATACCATATTCTGCCGACTTTATAATCATATGGTACCCAGAACATTTCGTGTGACGAATGAGAGCGACCTCGTGGCAACGATGGGGATATTCTGCGATTCCCACGTCGGGATCGAGGTTAAAATCGATCGCAATGGGAACTACATCGTTAAACCGACGGATATCGAGAAGATCTTCCCACCAACGAAAGGTACTGGACTTTCTGTGATGAATCACCTGATGTCTGCCTACGGTGCTTCGCTCAATACCATTGCGATGCACTCGCAGTGCCTCGCACGGTGTTGGAACCCTTATCTCACCAAAGCTTCGGACACTGAATATGATGAATGTGTGAGATGTGGGGATTAATTTCTGCTACATTTTCTATATACCTTCTCTTTTCAAGGGATAGAGATATACTTACGTATATCAGAACCCCCGAAGTGAAGAAGAATACAGTGTGAGCAAAATGTGGAACCTTTTCTAAGGACTTATGGAATCATCTGTGATTATAAAAGAACCTGAAAAATACTAAATTACCTTCTTAATCAGAGAAAATTGTTGCTATATTTTTGCCTCGAAGATGCAAATTTTTTCCTCCGTATCTTAATCCAGTGTGTGTAAAGGCCAACATACACAAGTCATTCGAAAAAAGAAGTGGTTGAATGTAAATTTGAACCATTATAAATCAATTAGAATTATTATACAATATGCGTTTAGGCATATTTTTGCGTAAGTTTTGATTAAACCCAAACACCAGAAGACTGTCATATTATTAATGGGGCTATATAATATACTTATGTACGGATCGTGAAATGGAATTGAATGGTATTTACAACAAGAGTTGGCCTACTGTAGTGTTCTAACTACAAAAGGAAAATATATCCACAGAAGAATCATAAAGGAAAAGTACGAAGGTTACCCTTTTATATATTTTTGTCTGTTGCCTTCAATAGACATCTTAATACATTAGCTATTATAGTATAACTTACATCAATACGGGAAAATTTCATTGTTGATATGAATTTTATCAACAACATTTGAAATAGATAAATTGGCACGCTTGAATAGTACTCTTACAAATTCTAAATGACTGTGTATAAGTCAGGGAGTGTACATTTTTGGGATTTTAATAGTGTCATGATATTTTATTGCTTCGTATTCGTTTTGTTCTCTGCGTCAGAGAAGCGTGTATAGTTCTTTTGACATTCGTTACTGCACTCACCTTTTATATTTTACTTACATTTTTCAGATTATATCCCGCTTATTACATAGTTACCTAAGATAGCTACCTCTTACTGCCATAATAAACACCAAAGAAAAGTCATAAAAGAGTGCTATGCACAAGAAAATTGATGTACACACTACTGCAAAAGCGTCTGATGCAGGGGAAGATGTGAAAAAAAACGTTGAGACGAACACCTCCAATAACGTTAATTTAATGTCAATTTTGCAGACAACAAATGTCACGCTGAATCCTCCGAAGAATGATGAAGTATGGTCATCTTGGTATAACGAAGCCGATGATGCCTTTAATGACTTCAAGAGTTTCGAACCTGAGATTCCAACTGGTGGTTTGGCGGTGCCAGGTAGTGGAGGCTCCATGCGCACACTAAGCGCGCGCCAAATTAGCGGCCAGTTCGAAGAGGAGGTCGCCAAGTCTTGGGAGGATGACTGGGAGGATGAGGATATGGACGACACCTTTGATTGCATCATGGGCCAGATATCCCATTACGAAACATCCGTGGGGGCGGCAGCGATGGAATAGTCGGAATTCAAACAAAGAATTCATCGGATTGAAGTAAAGGGTTTGAGATTCGTCCTGTTTTATTCTTATTACTATTATCTATAGCTGTAAACTTTTTCCAACATAAGATGATTGTTGGGATGGTTAAAGCTATGGGAAACGACTTTGTATTCCATTCATTATTAAGGTTTATAATGTTCATCTCATGCTTTTGTACAAAAATGACTGCAAGCGATAAGAATTTGTTTTCTTGGAACTACGGAGTGGTGGTGAGTTGCATGTCAGCCTAGGAGATAGGGAAACAATAGTGTCAGGAACTCTTTTGCAATAAAAAATGACATTTTAACTTATTTGATGTTTTCATTCTCTTTATCTTTTTTTTATATTTTATTCTTCTGACAAGCAAACTATTTTCTCTAGCATAAAAAATTTACGGCAAAAGTAATTTGCAAACCATCCTTGATCATTTTTGATCCTGGATTCATTTATTCGAAATACCAAGAAGAAGCTCCCAAAAAAATCTTTATTTGTCCCTAATAAGGGAGGCAACACTTTACATAATAAAATAAGAAAAATCAAAGCAGGTAGGTGCATCTATAAACCTGCCAGATCTATATATAACTCTAATTTATTAAAGTTACATAGCGCAGGGTACTGAGAGAGAATACAAATTTTGATTTTTTTTTTCTTTATCAGGTCGTAAAACACACGTGTAGAAGAAGGGAAAAAAATTAAAAGGGAACGACCCACAAACAGGATTTTTTCCCTGTTTTATTATTTCTTCAAGCAATAAACAAGCTTAGGTTTTTTCACATTCCACCCCTTATCCTTTTTCCTCTCAACACAGAGTCTCACAAAACGATGAAGCATATTCCACTAGGTAAGCTTGCCCAAAATGCTTTGAGCTTGCCGCGACTATCGATTCCGTCCCTTGAGGCTACCGCGAGACGCTATCGCGCATCATTAATCGCCCTTCAGAGGGGTGAAGCCGGCGCCCAGCATCTTGCGCGTCTTGATACCTTTTTGTCGAAATCGGCTCCTGCTTATCAAAAGGAAATCCTCGATATGGATAATGCCGCCGCCGAGGCCGGTACCTACCCACATACGTATGTGGAATCCCTCATGACGAACACGCAGCTTAGCAGTCGTCTTCCACTAGAAGTGAACCATAACCCTGGTCTGGTGTTGAAAAAAGGCATCAAAGGGACGGATGGGACGCAGGTGGGAGTTGCCGCTGCGATCGCGTACGGGGTAGCACGCTGGATCGAAAATGTAGTACGAAATGGCATTGAGGTAGTTGAACCCAATCTCGACCTCTCGCCACTGGAGACTGAATTTGGTCGCAGCTTAATTCCTTCGAAGGAGAAGGACACGATTCACACAACGCCACTGGAGAAGCTGCGCCACGTCATCGTGCTGCACGACGGGCATCCCTATCTTGTGCGGGTCTTTGACGACAATCAAAAGGTTCTAGATAGAGCGCTCATTCAAAAGGCCTTCGAACTAATCCTTTCCATCACGCCAGACGAGGATAACACCACACCGGTGACGGTGTTGACGGCCGGCAGCCGCGCGTTGTGGGGTCAGACGTACCAGGAACTCAT